ATAGATGTCTATGTGCCACACATGGTGACCACTGTTTTAGAACAAAAGGGGAGCCATTGGCTATCTCCAAGCAGGATGATGAAATTCCAGGTAATCCTAACTGAGCAGGATGTCATATTAAAGACAGCTAACCTTTTGAATCCAGCTTTGTTCCTAGGTACCACAACTGAAGAAAGCCCATTAGAGCATGACTGGGTAGAAGTAATAGAGTACAGCTATTCCGCAAGAGAAGACCTGAAAGACATCCCACTGGAGCAACCAGAGTTGGAGCTATTCACAGATGGAAGCAGCTTCATGGACCAGATAGGCTGGATATGTGGTAAAAACAGTCAGTACAGTAGTGGAGGCAAAAGCATTATCAGCAAATCCATCTGCCCAGAGGGCAGAACTGGTTGCCTTAACCAGAACACTAGAATTAAGTGAAGGGAAAAGGGTAAACATATGGACTGGCTCAAAGTATGCTTTTGGAATAGTGCATGTACACAGAGCACTGGGGAAAGAAAGAGGACTGCTGTCTTCTCAAGGCACACACATTAAACATCAAGATGCAGTCCTGCAATTAATAAAAGCAGTACAAAACCCTGAGCAAGTAGCAATCATGCACTGCAAAGCTCAACAATCAGGAAGCTCCAAAATTCATGAGGGAAATCGGAAAGCAGACTGGACAGCCTGACAAGCTGCTTGAAAAGTGGAAACTGCAGTGGCATTGATACCTTTACAGACTAATGTATCTCAATTCAATTTACCTCCAGAACCAAAATACTCAGTAGAAAATGAAAAATTGGGATGTTTGCTAAATGCACAAAAGAATTCAGAAGGGTGGTATGTAACTGTACAAAGACAAATAGTGTTAACCCCCTTGATAATGAGAGAAGTTCTGCAAATTAAACATAACAAATGTAATTTGAGTGCAGAGGCATTAGTGAAATTGCTAAAACAAAAATTAATCTTGGTACAGATGCTAACAATGGCAAAATCAGTGATGTCAAAATGTGAGATCTGCTTGAAAAACAACTCAGTGGCTAGACACAGGTACAGCTAGGAAGGATTAAGATAGGAATAGAATCAAGATTACATTTGGCAAGAACCCTCTAGTAGAGTGAAATTTGGATGGGCCCTAGAGTCTTTGCTTGATCGTATAGCAAACTATCAGAAGAGAGAAATGTTGTACAAACTTACAGATCAGGTAGATAAACTGGCAAGAGTGACCTGGGAAAGGTTTAAAGAATTAAATGTACAATTAAAAGCCACCACAAAAATGACTTTACAAAGTCAATTTGGCTTAGACTTACTACTCCTGAAAGAGCATGGAGTGTGTGGGTTTTTAAAAGAGATGGATTGATCATTGCTGCATCCACATCCCGAATGTAACAGCAGATGTAGAATATGACATCAGTCAGTTGTAACAAATAGAGCACGGAGCACAGGAAGAGCAAAAGGATTTGACTACAAGTTGGTTAGGCAAAATCTTCAGAGTTAGGGTGGAATGTGAGTTCATGGATTAAATCCATCATTGAGAGTGTGATAATCTTATTAATTGTATTCTTAGCAATTTAGTTAGTTTACAGCATTTTAAAAGGAGAAATACAGAAGAAAACGTCCTGAAACCAGAAAATAATAAAGGCACTGATGTGAGATCCACACCCACCATCTTCTGGTTCTCCAGTTCGTGACAACATGCAGGACAACATTTACATCAATCCAGTATTCAAAGAACATCAAGTATAAATTCAGAAACAAAGGACTGTATCAAGTGAAAACATTTGCACTTATAGTGAAGTGAAAATGCTTTCAAAGGGGGGAATGATAGTAAAAAGGTTTTAAAATCATAGAAAATTTGGGGACTTAGAAAGAAAGTTAGGTTTGGAAAGCCCTGGGAAAAGTAGGCCCTGGGAAATGTTAGGCCTTGCACTTGATCAGGTGAAACTGCACCTGTGTAATCAGCAGATGATAAATGATACAATTGTTAGATGTGATTAGCTATAATTATTGTTTAAAGAACATGAGGAACAATGTTAGGGTGTTGAGAGGGGATCACAAGAAATCCATGCTTGGGTAAAAACAATGCATACAATAGAACAATGTAAGTTTAATAACTTATAGTAAGTTATATAACAATAGAGTATAAAACATGTTCAGCTCAAAACCAAATTGGGTCAGATTTGGGTATGTGTACCCCTGACACCCAGAGCTCTTAATAAAGCACCTTCATATAATTATTCCATGATTATGTGTGTTCCTGAATACTAACAGTGATAGAAACCAAGATGCCATGGGTACAGCTTTTGCCATTGGCTTTGGCAAGAAGAGCCAGACCTAGGGCAGATATTCAATTCTCTTCCCTGGAATTAATCTTTGGAATTTCTTACCCTGGTAAATCTCCACTTAGTGCAGGGTGGAGATCAGCGATGTAGATTCAAAGCAGGTTGTGGCCGGAATCCTGTCTCTTGTGCAATCTCTCCCTCAGGAAGCTCGGCTGGCAAAGACCCTGCCTTGGGACTTTGCTGTTCACATCATCCAACCAGGACATCGGGTCCTGCCAAAGCAGTGGAAAGAAGCATCTCTGGTGGCCAAGTGACGTGGCCCATTACAAGTGTCCCTGAGCACAGAAACAGCCCTAGCACAGCTGAACACAAGGGGACCTCTCAGCCTCAGCTCAAGGGCTCTGAAGCCCCGGAGATTTGGACTTCCCGGCTGCAGGAGGACCATGGGAGGCCACCCCTGAGCCTGCACTGAAGGCAACGCAGCAGCAGCCAGGGCTCCCCAGCGGGGGAAGCCCCTGCGCCTGCCCACAGATCCTCTGCTCAAATCCTCGGCCTGGCCACCCTCCTTTGCCATCTCCAGCCACTGCGGGACAATCCTTGCTCTCACTCTTGCACCTTCAGGCCTTTCTGTGCCTGCCCTCGCCACAGCTGCTGGGGAAGGCACCAGGACAATTCCACTCTGCCTCTCAATGACACTCACACTCTGCCCTGCCTGGGATTAGATTATACCATTAGAATGTGTTTTCTTAATAATCCTACTTTTATATTGTCAGTTAGGTTTGGGACAGGGTTGTGAGAATCAATTTTTATTCTTAGAAGATGAAGTAGAAAAAATCTTCTTTGTTTTGGATTCTTTTTGTACATGTGTTTGTGTGGCTGTTGAGATTGCAAAATTTTGGTGTGGATTTTATGTTTTTCACCTCTAGGTTGCTATTACAAAACTAGAAGACCTTTAAAGTTGACCCATTAACTGGTAAACAGTTAATGGAATACTGTTCAAAAAAACTCAAAACCAAACAAAATCAAACAAAACCGAACATAACAAAACAAAATAAAGAAATAAACAAACAAAACAAAAAATCTCTGGCGTCTGTGGATCCACATGTGAATCACCAGATGCCTGCCCTGGAAGAGTAGCTTAATTCAAGGCAGCCAGCAGAGGACTTATTGAAATGCAAATTAACACTGCTGGGACAAAGCCTAAACAATGGCCCAGGGGGTTCCTGCCTGCAGGAGGAATTGGGCTCATTCCCTCTGCCCCTCAGCCCAAGCTCTGCCTGCTTGCACAGATGGAATTTGCACAGCTAAAGGCACAGCCCATTGTGAGGATATCTGACTCTGCAACAGAAAGTGGTTAAGCTGCAAAGGAAAACAGAAAATGGAGAATGTTGTGAAAACTTCACTAAAACAAGTGGGGGAGAATCATCCCTGTCCCCACTCCAACATGTGCTGTCTCTGTCTATGTTATATAGGGTGTATCAGACCACTGGGGTTTATTTGCTACCACAAGTTCAGAGAAATCAGTTGGGAATCCAAGTATGTGATGATTTAATGAGAGAAAATCCAACAATTGATGCAGCCCTGGCTGGAGGGAGCACCCAAAAATCGGGAAAAGATGAACAAATATTGCAACACTATGGACCAGCTCCTGGGAACCCTAACTAATTCATATCAGGAGACAGAGAATCCATTTATCATTTCAATGGTATAATTAGATTATAAGCTGTCAGTGAAATAATACCCAACCAGACAGATCCATCTCCCAACCTTCTTCCCAAACAACCCATTGAAATGAGGAATGCAATATTTCACCATGGGATGTGATCTCTATCTCCTTGGGCCACACAAACCTCTGGCGCCGGGAATTTTCCCGCCCGGCCCCGGGCACAGCGCAGCCACCTCCGGCCTCCCGACACGAAGCGGGACGAGCCAGCGCTGCTCCGCCACCGCCTCCTGCCGAGGCCCCAGCGGCAAGGAGACCGCGGGCAGCCGCTCCC